GCCCGTGGAAAACAGCGAATATCTGCTTAATACCAAGTGCGGTAAGAGCCTCTCCTGCCGAGTAGTTATTAGACCCGATTAGCTACTCTCGCGCCTCTAGGAAAGACTCTAGATACGCCTCATACTGGTGCGCTTGCAGCAGAAATTACGGGCGTCTAGGTCTCCTCGCAGACGAACAATTCTGTTTTCAGAACGGGCGTCAATAGCTCCGCGCAGCAGTTGCGCCGCCTCTGCCTCCGAGATCGGCCTTCTCTCGAGAGGCGGCAGAATCTGCCTAACCGTTTTCCCTGGACCAGGGGCCGGCCCCTTTCGACACGGTGTGGCATGAGGGGCACTCTTATGTCTCATGTTTCAGGAAAAGCGACTGCTACACCAGGCTGATCGGAGTATTCTCACAGAGAGAACGTTCACGAGTGCGAGTTAACGCGCTACAATCGTCCCTAAGACGCGCCGAAGCGGGAGTTCCACAGGGAGCGTGCTCTCCCCCAGCACTCTTCGTTGTACGTCAATGATGCGCCTCTGCTAGCAGAAAGGAGAACGGGAATTCAGCACCGTTGCGCGCTCCTGATGTTCGCGGATGACTTTGCGTTATTACGCGAAATCGGCGAACAGCAGCAAGCCAGTGAGATACCTTCAATGAATGCCTCGCCGCCTTTCCCTCCTGGCTACGCCAGAAAACGCCTACCCTTAAACTTGAAAAATGCTGGCCGTTAACTTCACCCGTCAGGAGGGCAACCCCGAGGAAAACGGTGTTGCTGCGGCGCGCATCTTCCTTGGTCCCCCATGCCGCGAGGTACCTGGGCTGACTCTAGATCGTGGGCCTCATATTGGCACGAGCACGCATAGCGACCTTCGCCACAAAATTCTGCAAGGACCTACCCTCCTACGTCCCCTCCTTGGCCTCCCCGGAACCTATCTCTCTCAGAGAAGCTCTCCTTTTCACCGCCTGCATACGAAGTTTATGGACCTATGCTTGCGAAACCTTTGCCGGCAGCGCCGGTCTCGATCCTACGCCCGATTGGGGCGGCCGAGAAAGCCGAGCGGTGAGGACCGCCACGCGGCCACATCTCCCTCCTCCTTCCTCCTAACCGCCACCATAGGAACAGTGAACCTACGGGGCCTTGGGCTTGAGTCGTCAGCTGCCGGAGAGATTCCGCCAAGGGAGGGGGCCCCAACAAACAACGGCGCCTCACCACGCGGCCTGGGGGCCAGAAAGCTCCGCGCTCGTGTGGCGCGAAACCGCCGGGCAGCGAACGGTGAGGTCCACCGACGTATTTTTGCGCCGAGGAGGGCCAAGCAAGTGCCTCCACGTTTCCGGGCGCTACACGCCGCAGCTTCTCGCAGAGCTCTGGCGAGCAGCGGCGTTGAGGCTCCAGCGGGACGAAGTGAGGCCCCGCCCGTAACAAACTGCCAGGGCACATTGTGGCCCTAGCCGCCACGGACGCTGGAGCAAAGGTCGGCCCGTGACCCCACATAGTGTAACAATAGTGAAATAGTGTCTTAGTAAAGTAATATAGTGTCGTGGTGAAAGTGCGTGTGTCAAGTAAATAGAACATAGTGCCTGGAATGAGCTGTCGTGAATGTGCGTGTGAATGGAAAAAACAAATCCAAGAAAAATAAAAAACAAATAAGCGTGTAGTAAAAGTACAAAAATTCTTTGCTAATCTTAGTTGCTGGCCAAAGTGCCCGGCTGCATCATAGGTTAAGTTCAGAAATAAGTTAGTAAGTAAGTTCTGCCCCCTTCTTTGCCGCATAAGCCATAGAGCTGCGGCGTATGTTGTACCCCAAGAAGGAAAGAAACTCCCGCCTCGTGGCTACTGGCGGGGGGAAAGTTGAAAAAAGGCCGGGGCCCTGCCGCTCCCTCGCCGCGAACCCACTGATTACAAAGAAGGTTGTTTTCTAGAACTCCTCTCCGATGACAAAAACTTCGATGTTATCAAACAACTTCTCGTATGTTCCAAATTCGTCATCGACTTTGTTTAAATCTGGACCAAACAATATCAATCGCTTAATACAGCAAAGCTCGTTTAGTATATTTAATCAGGGCATTAAATTATGGCAAAATCTATTTAATCTATGGCATCAAATTCATGGGAATCAAAATTGAATTAGCCAGTGGACGTGTTTACTAATTTTTAATTAATATTTAACCCCAAACAAAGTGAAAAACTAACAATGAACAAAGTGCTTCTGAGGACCAGCGCTTGCTCAGCGCCCCAGAAGGATGAGAGAAGGGGAGGCCCCACGCCTGCTGCACTCGCGTTGACCGCCGCCCCGCGTTCGAAATCCCAGCACATCGCGGCCATCTCTCCGAGGAACTTTCCCTTTCTTCGAACACACCAACCGACAATCGTTTCATCACTTATTATTTCATATTTTGTCTTGTGAAAGTTGTCATTATGTAACTTTTTCATTCACAAACATGGAAAACGTAAAAATGTATGCATAAAACATCGATGTTAGAAAACTATCTGCAATAACATATCGATGTTTAAAACATCGTTTTTATAGAAACATGAATGTTTTAAAACCATGGACATCGTTGTTACATCCATCCATACAAATAGAAGATGAGTACACGGCGCCGAAGTTAATCCATTCATCTACAGTACCAATACCGTATTAAGGTATGAGCAAAGATCTGTCCTGGGTAACACTACAATAAAAATGTTATTGAAATTTAATTTGACTGTTTTTCCTTTTCAGGTTGCATTTGTTCATATTCATAATAATTATTATATTCTGTAGTTTAATTTAAGATTTTTCTCATACTTAAGTTGATATCAAGATATCGTGAAGAAGTCCCTTAACTCAATTACATTTTTATTAGTGGATGTACTACATTCAATTTCCCCATCATCAACATTCTCCAACTTTACTGGTATATGCCATTACTTCCCGTGCGAATAATTCGCACGAAGTTCCATGTTGTCATGTCTTTCGTTATAGACTACTTAATCACACATTTTTTTTATTCTTCATCAAAAGCTCTTTCCCGTCATGAATGGAAATATAGTTATTCAGGAAGTCAAGTTCTGGTCGCAGGTTCGACAACTCACATGTTTCCCAACTTTGTTCTTGTCATTCGTCTTTACTTGTAAACAACTTTTTTTAGGTGAAGAAATCACAATAACGTATTAACATGGCGAGAATAGTGATTTTCAGGTATCAAACGGCATCTTGATCATACGAATTGATCCAGCGATTATTTGGATCTCAAATCAGCAATGTATCATATTTATAATGCTTATTTTCTGTATTTTGAAAATATGAATCGATTTCATGGTGAGTAGTTACCTTTGAAAACGAGTGCATAGTTTCGCAATAAAGGAAGATGACATCTTTGTCAAATTTTTTTATTTTTACTTCGGAAGTATGCGGAATTCGTCATAAAGCAAGTGTAAGATCGATAACAATAGTTAAAATTTAAAACTAAAACAATAGGATTAATAAAATAAATTTTAAAAATTGTGGCATACCGACTCAGTTCAGATGTCGAGGTTATGATTTATGAAGATTGTGCAAACACATGACAAATAAAAACATGATCATTGTCTTGTAGCAAATTAAGCGGCATTGCATGTTCACCTTCGTTAATAAATAACTACAATGCTCTACAAAAACGTAGCTGATGCAGTTGCAGTTCCTGCATGTGAATCTCAAGTGAAGGACTAAACTTCTTCAAATAAAATGGCGTAAATGGAAATATTGGCGTAACTAGTGCAGAATGTAATTCTTTGGCGTAAAATGATATGTTGAAAAACTAGGCGACGATAAACGTTGAGTACGAAGTTTGAAATGAGTATGCTACACCAAATACTCTTTCGAACGAGTTGAGTGTATTATTTTTTAGCATGAATTCATGGAAACTTACTAGCATATAATCGTGGATCATTCTCAATATGAGAGGCGTCAGTCAAATTGATTCTTGTTGCACCAGTGTTTTGTTTACTTTGCGGATCTCAACTGTTTATTCGTCCATGATTACGCGTACGCGTTACGCGTGCAGCAAAGTAACATTTTCCCAACAATAAACTGTGACGATATGTATCTGTGATGTGTTTTCGTGCCAGAATATTGAAAATTATATAATATGCTTCAAATTGTGTAAAAAAGAGACATTTCTTACACAAAAAATTCGTAACAAGACACTCCTACGTAGTTGCAGATTAAGATCTTCTAGAAACCCACACTGTAGCACTTGTGATTTGCAATGTGTAGATCTTATAAACGATGTACTCGAATTAAATTCACTTCTATGATTCGTGCAATTAAATCTCAACTCCGGTATGTCTTTTTGTATTAATAAAAGTTGACAATGTGAGAATATTCATTCACGAATAGTACTGTGTTTATAATTCTGTAACTCAATATTCAGGGTCTGGTCGTTCCAAGTTTGGATCCAGATTAGACCTAATCTCAAATTCAAAATAAAATGTACAAAATGCGAAATGTACGCACGGGTTCAGCTATTTAACTTATTTTTGAGCCACATTAACAGAACATTAATAATAACAACTGTCCTACCACCAAGAAACTAGATGCTGTGTGGCAATGGTCCATTATTTAAATCAGAGTTTATTTGTGAAGTTTATGGCTGAAGGAGCATAAAAGAATGTACACGACGAATTGTAACTCTTCCTCTTTTTGCAGTCTGTCAAGAAGAAAAGGCTCTTAAGATTAGCGCACAGGCGTCATTTTGAGTTTATGCAGTTGTTAAATTCTGAATGTAACAGTGTTTTGTATTTATTTTCAGTAGAAAGGAAACATTCTCAAATTAATTGAGAGAATTTGAAACTTGATCGTTCGGTCATAAATGTTACGTAAAATTCGACCTTGTCCAACAAACTTACGAATAAGTTTTCGCCCTTCTTTCGATTCTAAAATGATTCCGAATAATCCATCATTTTTTCTTAAAACCAGATTTTCTTGCAATTGTATTATTAATGCAGAACTATAGTACATAGAACACTCATACTAAGCAATTTGTCCTTTTTCAGAGTGGGACCAGTGCGGCTAGGTTACTCTTCTCGCTAAAGAAAACATCACTTGATTTGGGAACACTCATCTCTTCATCTACAAGTAAGTTTTATTTATTACTGCTTTCATTCAGTCTGCCACTAGATTGTTTAAAAATCTAATAACGTATTTTTAAAACTCGATAAAATGAAAACACGAAATTATCACTAACGTGGCATTAAAGAAAAGTACGCTCTTGTGAGCGATGGAATATCTTGAAATGAAATTGGTATATAGGACCGGTTATATTCCAAACTCAACTAACGCATAAAACTTTTATTAACAGAGTAAACACCATAATGAATGGCAGAAATGCTGTTAGTTAAGTTCTTCTTGAAAATTAAGTGGAGAAGTATTCGTAGATAGAGAAAAGAAGGCTCACAGGAACGTGTTGATTCGATGCATTCGAACACTAACCCAGAACAAGAGAAAGTCATGCTGTGAAGAACAATGCTGCTCGTGTCGTGTTGCATCAAAGCTAATAAAGGCCCAAGTAACGAACAATAAACGACAAATGCAAAAGAACTTTGTTCTCTTATCTCAGTTTTTAAGTAAGCTTTGTAAGCATTTCAACCATGCCAACTACAGCAAATTGAACAGGCAGCAACTATTTGAAAATAAAACCTGGACACTGCAGTAAATGCCCTCAGGTTTGTCCGTCGTGAAACCATTTACTTTCTTTACATTCTTGTAATCAATTGACACATTATTTGCAAATTAATTATTATTAATATCAACACATGAAGTTTTAACACATGAAATATGAACTGATAAGCTGCCGACCTCTTGATTTAAACATATACTCACATTTCACATTTTTGAAATATCTTTCTGACATTAGATTAGAACAAATTACTTCTTTCGTTGATCTTTCTCACGAACCGCATTCGCTCCAAACCTGCTGTATCTCTTTTTAGTGATTTCTCCCTATTATAAATATGTTTGATAAACCTTGAACTTGGAATTGCAAAGTTTCAATTTTTGAGAAGTGAAAAAATTATACCCATTTTAATTTTCCCTACATACTAACGTAAGAAGAGAAAGTATTGTAAAAACGGCAAATTTTCGTCACAAAAACTCTTATTCAGGGCCCTGGTAACGATAAAGTGGTTAACTTCAGTTGCTAACTATGTAAACAATTCCTCAAACAGGTGGTGTAAACAGAATCCATGTTTTGTGGGTCCTTCATACCAAAGATCGATTGACGGCAAAACTTTCTGGCTGTCTGCCTGATCGGTCGTCTTTGCACAACGCTATCGCATAAACCATTCAGCTGATTTTCTCCAAAATTGACATTCCTCAATCGTTCTAGCTAGTATCGCGGGCTCTGGATTTTGAAAGAGAAATTTTAATTTTTGGGGGTACCTTTCGGGATCCCCTGGGACATTTTCAAACTTTTCAAAATAATGTCTCCAATTTTTTTTATTAAATTTTATTGTTGAATAGTGTATGGAAAGAAAATGGTAAATGCCTTATTTTCATTGACATCCCGTATTCTTCGAAAATTGAAAAAACAATTTAACTTCAAAATTGCAGATAGAGATTATTGTCTCAGACAAAGTCTTTTGTGCAAACTTAGCTCTTAACAAAGGATCATGTACAAGTTTTAGAACAAACGAGTAGTTTTTGCGTGTTTTGCGATTGAAATTTTACAAAAAAAAAAAAAAAAACTTTTCTCAAAAACAGCTAAATTGTTACTTTAAATTTTCTTCGCTTATGTAATCAGAGACGATAGAAATATGGCACTAGTCTCTTTTTCGGGTATTGCAGGTGTTTTGGGAAATTAAAAAAACTTAAAATTACAAAATTGAAGATAGATATTTTTGCCTCAAGCAAAGTCTGTTGTACAAACTGAATAAACTCTTTAAAAAGGTCATGTATTATTAAAAAAAACAGTAGTTTTGGGGTTATTTCTGCATGAAATAATTAAAGTGTAAATATATATAATGCAATGAGCAAGGCTCATCGCACAAGCGCGACCCTCGAGTCACGCTGAGTTAAAATACTTCGAAGCCAAAGAGTTCCTCTTTCGCGCAGTAGACACAACAAGCTGCATGCGTGCCGGTATCCTGCCTCGTAACCGCCCCCGAAAGCACCCTTCACGCTTTTGTGCTACAGTGGGTGATGGACAAGCAGAACTGTTGCATATAAGGCGACAGCAAGCCCACTGTAAATCAAGACCGGCTATGGAAAACTTCGCATGTAACTTTCCGTTCAGTTTTGCGACGATAGGTCGAGGCATCTTGCGAGAGGTGTGAAGGGTGGAAATCGCAGAGGCAAACGGGCGCTGGAAGGTCTGGACAGATAAAAATAGACTGTCGAAGTGAGCGGTCGGCTCAGAGATTTGTTTGAAATTTTAACGGAGACTACCGCCGCACTGGTAATAATCTCGAGCCAGTAATTTCGATAACTCCAGCATCGGAAATTATTCCGAATGTCGGACTAGAACCATTACGAGGGAGTGTGCAGCATTGTTTCTCAGCTGCTAAACTCTACGCGGTCCAGGCGACGTTTGACGACTTGTGACCAGCGCATCAGACGTTGCGGCCTCAACTCCACTGGACTCGGGGCGGTCTCCGACTCAACCAGGCGCAGATTTCTGCCGGCTACCGGAGAAGTTCGTAGCTATTCGGCGGCCATCTGCTGCCGCCGACTGCCAGTTGAGTGTGTAATCCTTTTGGACTGAAGTATCTAAATTCCAGCCATCACATAACTGTAAATCCATGTATTCAATTAACCGTCGAATGTAGAAGATCAACACGAAGAATAAACGTGTCCCCGTCGTTTTTGTCGGATGATTTTACTAGGAAAATGTGTATTTTTTTAATAATTAGTTAGTAAATGCAACCTCCGACCCAGGGCGCCCACCCCTGTTGATGGCTCGACTTCGGCGCCCAGGTTCAGGTAGGCATACGCTTGGCGCCCCCATATTTGAAATACTTCTAGTTGTCTGGATATGCTGCAACGACTCGGAAGATCATTTTTGTGATTTGCATCTGATTGTTGGGACATAATTCACCTGCATGCAAATCAGTTGTAATTCCTAACTTTGTGTTCATATTTGCTTGAAAATATTTTGTTTTTGCACTAAATGTTATACAATTTGTAATGAGTAGGGTTGGGCAGAATTTAAATACTTGCATATGACATATATGAAATATGTATTTTAAATAATTCACATGTTCATCCACGAAACTTGAAAGACTGTTTTCCTATGTTGAATAATATTCAAAACTACAAAATTGAAGATAGAAAGTTTTGCTTCAGGGAGTCTGTTGTAGAAAATAAGCTCCTTTAAAAGGTCATGTGCAATTAAAAAGCAGTTTTTGCGTTATTTCTGGTTGAATTAATTGAAGTGTATATGAGAAAAATTGAATGAATGATACGAATTAACTGATGATTTGTTTGAAAAATCAGTCGTATTGAAGGAAATTCCATTACTTTGTGTCAGACATATTGTTAATATCATTTTATATTAGAAAACGTTTATACATATGCTTATAATACATTTCAATATTTATTGTTCAGAAATAAGTATGACTCTGCAACTGCAAAAATAACAAGCCATTATCCCGAAGGCAGACGTTCGCGCGCTTTTTAGAGGATCGGGACGGAAACGCGCAAGTCGGCAAAACCGTATGCGCAGCCTGCTCCATTCAAATCGAGCGACAAGTTTCTTGATAAGAGTTCTTACACTTCCCTCGGTGTACTGGGAGCAATGGAAAGACCCTCACTCCCATAAAATCTTAATATTAACTAGATTTTCTTCAAAGCTGGAATGTGATGAATATAATACAAATATAAATTTTGCTGAATAGAAATTAGAATGTAGAAAAGTTTTGGATTTTATCAACTTTCAAAAAATCAGGGTTTATAACGTAAAAATCAGAACTGCACCATTCTAAAAAATGTTGGAGATTTTTTTGTTTCAAAATTGTATCAGGGGCTTCATGTAAAGGAAAAGGAATAGCGAAAATTTCAAATGATTAAACATTCATCTATTTTTATAATTAATTAAAACAATTGAATGACATAATAAGTATAACAAGTATTGCATAACTATGAATAAAGGCGAGAAAGTATGTTAGCCTCACTAGTTTGTTTGTGTAACATTACTCAGTTAATAAACTACAGACCTTCAATTGTTCTAGTTTTAGTTTCTTTGCATACACACATTTTTTTTAAATTTAAGGTCGCATCAACATCTAGGTCATTGATCATGGATTTTTAGATGATATTGTTGGCATGAGTGCTAATAGCGAAATGGCGGGAAGTGAAGCAGGAAAGACGATAGAATGTACCACGAACACCCCTGGTCAACCGTAAATTCCGTGTATTTGTCACGAGATATACCCCCAGCAGGGTGCCACCACCCCGACCGGGTCGAGTTCTAAGCTTCCATCTGATCTCCGGTCATGTCTGTACATGACGTTTTTTTTACTTACACTTACATACTCTTAACTACTGGTAGTTAAGTGTATGTAAGTGTAAATATGTGTGTAAGAAGGGGGATAGGAGAAGGAAGAGAAGGAAAGATCGCGTGCGGTCCGTTGGTATTTGGTTAGAAATTTGTCTAGTATTGATCGAAAAATTATCGGAAAACTACGGCAATAGCAGCCGGCTACTAGAATTGTCCTCCAGACAACTGAGATAACTATGTAGCCTGTGTCAAAAATCTGCTAATGTCAAGACTCTAAACCTAGGACCTCCCAGTTACAGTCGCTGTAGAGCCATTCACAATAATAATGCACCTAATTATTAGGGGTGGGACGGGAGACTAGGGTCTGGTTAATCAAGATCCAACCCTTCTCGGGAGCGGCGAGACCGAAAAGGCGCGTCAGAATAAAGAAAACCCCGTTCCGGGACTGGACTTGTATTCATCCTTGGAGCGCGTGGCGAGCGCGTCTGGTAGAGCACACATCCGTAAAGTGCGGGTCAAGGCCTCCTGCAGAGCGCGTCGCGTCTATCTGTCAGATTGTAGTCAAGGCCCCCTCCGTCCCGCAGCCCAGCACCGCTCATCTCTACACAATGCTCCGGATTCGGCTTGCGAGAGCGACAATTAA